ACCCATTTCACTATAGGCTACCCGATTGATTTGTGTACAACCGACTGTATTATAGTAGCTTGAAGTTGTATTGTGATTAAACTCAATTCAATTCAATTAAAACTAAAATTAAAAAAAAATACATTGTTTGGAGTTATATGTTAAATATTTCCCTTGGAAGCTTTGATTGTTGTGAGAATGGGTTGTGAGAAACAGAATATACTAGTCGGTGTCACAGATTCAGAGGAGTCCAGAGTAGGTTGCAGAAAACACTCAAAGCTTTAATAAGAAATGAATCACCGCCTCACAGGCTGAATGAACAGAAAATGTCTTTACACAGAAGGGAACAGAAAGTAGCTCTGCAGACGGAGATAAGGGGCCTCAGCTGGCCACCCAGAGTGGTCGGGAGCTATGGAACTGGTACAGCGCTCTTCGGCGACTGCTGAGAGTAACACAGAAGCAGTATAGCACATCGGTAGGCAATGATCCTCTCAGACACACAGGACCAGACAGGACAGGACAGGACAGAACAGAACAGGACTGGTGGAAAAATTACTCAGAGACGTCAAACAACAGCGATCCAACATACGTTAGGGTCAAACAATAATCCGACAATTCAGACAAGAAAGAGAGGGCTAGAAGTAGCGTGGAGATGAGGAGAAGATAGAGAACAGGTGTGTAGTTGATGAGAATATGAGAATCAGCTGACGGTAATGAAAGGAGGAGAAAATAAAAGTGTAAGCGTGTGGAAAGAGAAGAAATGATGATGTCTAACCGGCAGAGGGAGACAAAGGAAAGAAAACAGAAAGAAAGAACCAGACTCATGACAGTCGGTGCATTTGGAAGCAAAATGTGGCTGTTTCCGAATAGCGTGCATCTCTGATGATGAAACTGCGCGTTGGAAAAAAGCATAAAAAAGAAAAGGACATATCAAACACGTGCAACAGAACCTAGGCAAAGCTGGAAGGATAGCGTTATATGCAGCGAGCGGACACAGACAATGCAATAGGGTTGGTGCTTCAGTATAGAAACTTTTGAATAAAAGTACAATTTAGTAAATTACTTTCTTGTCAGATTTTCGTGATGTAAACATGATATTTCGCATCTGAAGTCTCTCTCACAGAGACTTCAGATGCCCCAACACCTGTGATGAGTTGACTAACGCTCAATACAGGTGTCATGTGTTGTAGGCTAATCTAAATTAATACATGACATATACATATAATAAAGATGTCCTGAAAGTGCTTTGTAAATAGAACATGAAAGCAGTAGCCTATTGATTATATCAAATATAATATTATACTATTGATTATGTCAAATATATTTATAATATAGCTTTAGAAATGGTAAACAGTGTTGAAATAAAAGTATTGCAAAAACTCACTTGATTAAAAACTATATACGCTACATTATCATTAGATTTTCATGAATATATTTTCACATCCGTAGGCATATGTGGGCCTAGGCTACTAGGGCATGTACCATAGTAAATCTGAGGTACCATATAGCCTAATGTATCATAGTAACAGTACCATATCTGAGGTACTATATGTACCATGGTAAATCTAAGGTACCATACTATGTAACAGCAACAGTACCATACAATACCTTGACTGCAGAATGCACCATGGTAATATCTGAGGTACTATAGGGTAAGTACCATGGTAAGTCTGAGGTACCATACTATGTACTATACAGTACCATACTATGTACCATAGTACCATGGTAATATCTGAGGTACTAATGGTATGTACCATTAGTACCTCAGATGTATTGTATGTATTATGTATTATGTATGTATGTGTTGTGATTTTTGTGCTAACTTGGCCAGGTCTCTCTTGTAAAAGAGATTCTGAATCTCAATGGGATTTCCTGGTTAAATAAAGGTATAATAATAATAAAAAAGTACCATGAAGGTACCATGGTACTACTATGGTATAACATGGTACTACTATGATATACCATGGTACTATGGTATACCATGGTATGTACTATAGTTTATCATGGTTGGGGAGTAACTTACTGCATTTCTATGTAGGCTACATTTCTGAAATGCACTTTCTCTAAATCTGCTTTGAAACAATATTGTGAAAAAGCGCTATCCAACTTAATTTGACTTTAATTGAATAGTAACCTATCCTATACTGAGCTAAATTTCTCATGAGTGACCTGTGCGATGATGGATATCACGATTAAAATTGTTTTAAAAAAGATAGGCTAGCCTTTTTCAGACTTATTACAGCTTTACGCTTTGAAAAGTAAAGACATCGAAGTAGCGTATTTTACGGACCCGCTGGAAAAGAGGGAGAAGATGCTGAAGAATGACATATTAATATAATAAATAATTAATTAAACAGCATTTGAGTTCAATATCAAGCATCAGAAACGAGTCGCTGATTTACTACAGAGTCGCGAAATGTTCAAAAGAGTCGCACATGTGCATTGAAAACAGCTCCATCCCTTCTTCTTCTGCAAAAATAGCTATTCTTCATTGGTTTATAAACCTGCAAATCAAATGGTTCACGGTCAAACTGCAGTAGCCTAATATATTAAACACAGTTCTTACCTTTAGCTGATCGTTTGCTAAATGAGTGAATGAATGAAACTCTGTCCTGTTTATGAACTTGTACAGCCGAGCGGGAGATGCGTCATTCAGGGAGGAGCTAGTCCTTGAGTGACAGGACGCTCCTTTTCGATAATTTATTAACTTTATTTATTATTAGCCTACTCTATTGTCTGGCAGTCTACGCGATATTCAGGGAAAGAAGACACAAAAGCGGGAATGTAGCAAATCAAACTTTATTAATGAAACAGAAGATCAATGGGAATAATTTCATTTTTAATTTTCATAGTTTTCAGTCACATGACCGGTGCGGTAACTTGCAGTGTTATTTTAGCAGTTCATTTAGTTTTATTCATATGTTGATTTTGAAATCAGTTTTATTTAGTTTTCGTGGTCATTTTAGTTTTGGACAATTTACATGTTGTTCTTTTATCATTTTTCTTGTGATTTTTTTTTTGTAAAAAAAATATTGGTATTTATGTTTAATTTAGGCTGTAACCTATTACATTATTCATATAATTTAGCTATGTTTTAGTTTAACATTTTATTTCATTTTAGATAATAATTCTTGAACTTCAACTTATTTCAGTCAACATTTCGATTTTTTTTTTACATTATAGGCTATATATAAATAGATAGGCTATACTAGTATTACAAACCCATTGCAGTCAAGTTCAGTTACTCACGAGTTCACAATTAAAGGTTATTAATCAAATGGTTTGTACAAGACACGCACACGCGTTCTGCGGAGAAACATACATCATGGGGAAATGCAAGCGACATTTCTTACAAGACATAATTTCATTTCATCATCACAAACAATCAGATTACATAATGATTTAGTTACTTCTGCAAGTTTTCCATAACATAATAATAATAATAATAAAATCACAATGACATTTATTGAGCAGCTAAAATAGCCTACTGCCGTGCAAGGAAGACCTTAAGTTCAATTTTGGTCAAAATGAGTTTCAAAAGCAGAGGGAAAGCAAAGGCAGGAGCCCTTAACATCAGTTACAGTCCTTGTACCGCTGCACTTAAATTAAATAAAAAGTGAAAATAAAATTGCATGGGTACTAGTAGGCCTACAAGTGTCCTCGTATAGCATACAAGGAGGTGCCAATCTGACAGTCGGTATTAGTGGGTGACCATGCAGACGTCCGGTTTACACAAACCACTATGAAGTTGTACCGGTTAAACAGTTGGAATGCCGACAGCTAAACGGTGTAAAAGTGTTACTGTAGGCTATTGTAGCTAGGCTATATCACTTGGTAGCTCAATGTTGTCGGAAAAACACAGACGTGAATAAAGGTTGCGTTTACTTGCACTGCAAAACTCGTGGTGCATTCATAGTTGACTTGTTGTAAAATACCCCTCTCTCATCTATTTTGTTTTTTTCGTTTAACATTTAAAAAAATAGTAATTATTCAATATAAATTATTTAGAATAATTAATGTTTTATAAGTCAAACTAACATTTAGCCTAATGTACAAATTGCACAAGTATTAAATGTTACAACTTTATTCAATTTATTCACCTCTTCTTTCGTTTTATTTTCTTAATTTAATACATTTCTTAAATCAGTTTGTTAGACTGCCTTCTTTGTAAACTGCCATAAACTGACTATCAGGATAATCAATCCTAACCACATAAAAATTGTGAGCGAGAACTAGTCTGTGCATGTGGTAGCTACTAAATACATTTTAAATTCTGTCCAGAAAAAAAAAAATAAATACAGAATTTTTTTATTAATTCTAGAAAACTACATTGGGTTGACGTTTTGTCAGAAAATGGTAAATGGTATTTTGATAGCCAAATCAAACCTTTCACATGTAAGAAATATTTAAGGTTACTTTAACGGTATCTTAAAGTGTTATTTTACAAGTAGGCCTACAACGATAACGTTTTAAAATGATCCAGTAAAGATAATAGCCTTTTATTTTATCCTATGATGTAATATTAAACCATAGCCTTAAAATAACATTTGAGTTCTGTCTAGGCTATCAGAAATGTTTGTATGTTGATAAAAGTCAAAATGGTCAATAAATTAGAAGTTAAGGTATTTTGCCTTTGTATGACCAAATTATTGTTTTGCAGATAATAAAATAGGCTACAGTAACTTGCGAATAAAGTCAAAGGTCAAGTTTGAGCTAAAAAAAAAATATGTAGATAAATATATTCATTATGACAACTATACTATACTATACTAAATTTTCCAAAAACAGAAGCGGAAGAGAAATACAATGCTGGATAAAGTCGTAGTTTTTATTATTTTTGGACCAAAATATATTTCCGATGCTTAAATGATGTCACATGGACTACTTTGATGATGTCATATTTCCTTTCTGGACAAGGACAGTATACCGTACCTGCATTTACAATGGAGGGACAGAAAGCTCTCGGACTAAATCTAAAATATCTTTAACTGTGTTCTAAAGATGAACGGAGGTCTTACGGGCTTGGTACGACATGAGGGTGAGTTATTCATTTTTGGGTGAACTAACCCTTTAAAGAGATAGCTGGATGGATGGAGAGAACATGGTTAACAATGCCCAATGTTCTGTTTCGCTTAAAGGGATAGTTCACACAAAACTTTAGATTATCATCATTTACTCACCCCCAAGTTGATCAAAACGTGACTCTTTCTTCTGTTGAATACAAGAGATATTTTGAAGAATGTTGATAACCAGACAGGTGATGGCTGCTGGTGAGTAAATTATGATAATTTTCATTTTTGGGTGAGCTATCCCTTTAATTGTAAGTGAAATAGCAGAAGACAGAACTATCATATAAACTCCACACAAATAGGGACTGGTCCACTCCTAAAAAAAAAACAAAAACAAAAAAACAAAAGCCTCCAAAAACGATATTGTCTTTCTCAGGCACTTTGGGTAAGCGACATTATAGATTTGATACATTGAGTAGAGCAGGCTAACTCCCAGGGAAACGTCAACGCCCCTCATCTTCAACTCTCCATCCATCTTAATGGAAACACTGCCACTGGCCAAAGGGTTCCCATTCTCGCAGTCCTTTAGGACGATGGCTGGGGTTGTGTGTGGAGGATCCTGCGAAAACAAACACATACAGTATTTTATGGTGATTTATTTAAATTGATTTTTTTAAAACACCACATCTAAAATGAGCATAGTTAGGGTCCTATAGTTTCAGCAATGCAATGCATCAACCCGATCACACTAAATGCGTCTTTATAGCGCAGTGTGTTTATCGTGCAATTTATACGCTGAAGTGAGTTTTTACGTGCATAGGATACGCATTTGGTTACGCCGCCTTCACACTGGCAGTTGAAATCAGCTCCGATGCGGCTGCGAAACGACCGGAAGTCATTCATTTCCTATGGAGATTCGCAGACCGCATGCGAATGGGTCCGAAACGGGTCCGACCGAGTGCGGTGCGAAGAAAATCGTGTCCGTTGGTCATCCGGATGCGTTCAAAAAATTTGAACTCCTGCGAAAAGCTACGGACGGTTCCTATCCGACAATTCCAGCGGAAGTTGAGCGTTGCTATGGTACTGATATACAAACCTGAATTATTAACTTTTAATATAATAAATAACGATTTTATAACGATAAGTTTTCATGTCATTTTTAATTTTCATGACTTTCTAACGTTTATAAGGGCAATTAGAAGGTAGACATTGAACTATTGACCACTATATCACATTTTTTAGCCGACCTGACATGTCAACGTCCTGAGCAACTTTCCTCACGCAGCATAACCCTAATCAGAGAGATCATACAGAACTGACAGAATCAAACTTTAATCTCTCCGCCATTTTTGTTCTACCCGCGTCCGACGCTTCACTGAGTAGCCTAGTACGACGTCCGCTGGGAACGTATCGTATTACGGAGCTGATTTAAACTGCCAGTGTGAAGGCAGCGTTAGGGTTTGGTAGTGGTGTGGGGTGTGTGTGTATACGTTTGGGTAGAATTAGTGGTGTGGGCTGTGTGTGTTACACGCAAATGAACTGCGTATCAAATGCACGCGAAAACTGCGTCTCATATGCACGTAAAACTCATTTTACACAATGCGTGTTGTGTTGATGTTGTATATACATTGTACTAATTAAAGTTAATTTATTAAATTAGCCTACAATAAAAAACGGCACAAAAGGTCAATGAATCCGTATCAGAAGAAGTGCAAAGTAGCAGCTAAAGAATAGTCCTCCACCAAATTACCGGTAATCAGCTGGTTGGCCTACTTGGCGAATCTGACGGGGGAAAAGAAGAAATGATTCAATGAAAAGTCATTTAAAAAGCAGTATTTTATTTTCCTATTCCTGTAAAAAATCTTAAAATTGATTTAAATTGTAAAAACGTTTGCCATTACAACATTCACACAACATGAACTGGATGTCATCTTTGGGACTGGTTAGGCCTATCACGACCAATTCGGACGAATTCGTACGAGTGATTAAAAAGTGGCTAATTCGTACTAATTCGTACGACCTCACTCGTGCGAATTCATACGATTTGTCTAAACCCACGTGACGGTTATGTTTAGGGGCGGGGTCAGGGGTAGGTCATTCGTACGAATTCATACGAATTGGCCAATTCGTAAAATATGTACGATTTAGCAAAAATCGTACTAATTTTTACACTCTAAAAAATGCTGGGTTGTTTTAACCCAATTTTGGGTCAAATATGGACAAACCTGAAATGTTGGGTTAAAAATGTAATGTAAAAATTTAACCCAACAGCTGGGTTAGTCCATATTTGACCCAAAGTTGGGTTAAAACAACCCAGCATTTTTTAGAGTGTACGACTGAGGTCGTATGAATTGTTACGAATTAGCCACCTCGTAAAATTCGTACGAATTCCCGTGAGATCGGGTTGGATTAAATATGTAAACATTTACTTAAAACATGGCAATCCCATCAGAAATGTGTATCATAGCAAGGGAAGCACACAGCAAGCCGATTAGTACCAAAACCAAAACATCAAATCATTAGCTGCAGCCGCATGACACGTCTGAGGGTCTTTTGGTTTCTTTTCAGTGACTATAAAAGGACTGATGAAGGTGACATGAATCCCCTTTCAGTGCCCTATAACGTTACTTCAGCAGAAGAAAGACAAAATGACAAAAAGGTTCTCAGACTTTAGATCAGTAACGTTAAATTCTAATTTTAAAGATGAAAATCATACTTAATACTTTAATCCCAGTGTAGGTTTTCGAACAGTGGGTAAAATTGACTTACTGTTGTTGGTGAATGGCCCGGGTCTTTCTGTTGGGTGTTCTCCCCCGATAAAAATCTTATTTCAATGCTTGATCTAAAAAAAAGAACAATCAGAGTTTATTTCAATAGCAGTTTTTTGAGCTTTAATATTCATAGACACTTAGTAGGCTACATGTCGAGATTTGATTCATTGTAGGGTTGTATTGTATGCATTACTTTTGATTTATTAATTCAAAAATGGCCAAATTGCGTTACGTTCCGCTTGAAAAAAGTGTACCTTTTGAAAAGGTACTGCCCCAGAGATTTCGTACCTTTTTTTCTGAGAGTGTAGGAGTTTGCGGTTTTGTCGCTGTTTGCGCAAACACAGACACGGCGGGGTGAATTTATGAATGAAAGTTATTTCACAAAACTATGTTCTTACGAATGCTCGCGCTTTTTAAAATGGGTATTGGTCATGAGATAGTGTTGGTTACGGAGATCTTTCACATTTCCTAGTGGGCATGATTCGCGGATTAACTGCTAATATAACCATCAGAGTGAAAGTTGATCATTTCGACGTGTATTGTCTTGCCAATTTACACATTCGAACAATTTTGGCAGCTTGATTTTAGTCCGATCTGATTTTGTTTTGACAAGGACGTATTGTCCTTTATGGACGTGAGCTTTGTTTTTAGATTTGACACTGCATAAAAAATATGTTGTTGTTAATAATCAATATAACCATGACGGTAAAACTAAAAAAAACTGCTTAGCATTTAGAATATGAAAAATAATTAGGCTACTTTTCTTTTTTTTTCTCATTATAAAAACCTTGTGTTATTATGTAATCAAATCAGGCTTTAAAGAGTTACAATTCTGAAAAATTAATGATTATTTAGGCTAGTAATTATGATAAGAACTAATGATGTTAAAACTTTTTTTAAGAAAAAAAAAACAGAAAAACAGCAGTAAAGAAAACAAGTTTCCGTTTATTATGGTCATTTGAGTCCACAATGATATCATAATTTTGATATCGTAACAACATGGGGTTCACGGGAATATCCTTTACTCTCACTCTCAAAATAGTTAGCATGAGTTCAGTGAATGAACCACATTAGCTTTCTCAAACAAACAAACAAAAAAACAATACACAATTGAACAAACAAAACAACAACTAAAAACAATACAAATTAACAATATATAAAATGTAAACAATCATGTTTATAAGTTTCTGGGTTTCTGAAATAATTGAAATAATGAATAACTGAAATATTGAATAACTGAAATATTGAAAACGGGTTTCTGGAGCTTCAATAAGTTTCAGTAAATCATTATTAATTCTTTTACTTACTAAATTACAAATCTTCTGGAAGGCCAATTACACAAAGATAATTTTTTTTACCAGTTTTAAACTGAGTTTAAAAAGGCAAAAAACGTGTAAAAATATATTTAATAGCTTAATATGTGCACATTAATATAAATTTTATAGTTCTTTGGTCTACTTTATGCATATATTTACATTATTTAAAACTATATATTGTAGGCCTACATTATTATTTGTGTTTGTATTTTTGGCACAACTTTCATTCTGAAGAAAATAAACAATAAACAATAAACACCTTCAGGTTTAATTAATATATTAGAAAATAATAATTGCCATATGATTCTGCACTAAAAAGTGTGAAATGAACTGGATTTATTAGTCTAATATAGGCCTATTATTTAATATCACTGAAACAACCTAAATGCATTAATATAGACAATAACTATCAGTTAGAAATATAAAAGTGTAGCGGATAAATCGATAGGTTTATCTATATGGTCTGCTATTTAATCTACACACGTTGGTATTAATGCATATGCGTTGGTTTTAAAGGATAAATGATCTTCGATATTAACAGCTTGACTGTTGACAGTGAAGCGTTTCTGACGCGCGTCCACTCAAAAAAATGAACTAGGGAGGTTGTGCACTTTACATAATATATTTTTATATAGTTTACTTATAATAATTGTGTTTTTTGACTTTACACGTTTTTTTCTATTAAGGTCTATGTAATTGTGTCTCAACTTGGCAGGACAAAATCCTAATGTGTTGTCTAAACACAAACCATTTATGTTAAGTAAAAAAAGTGTACATCCAGAGGGTGGCAGTATAGTCCGAGCCGACTGCCATTTTGCCCGAACTTAATTTTATTGTGTTCAATCTGCTTAAATCTACGAACAACTTAACCCTCAGGTGCTCTTCGTTTCGGAGTCACACTTGTTATCTTCCCGGTCAAAAGTGACCGGACACCTAAAAATGAAACTTTCTCCATCCCAGTAAAACCAATGCAATTTATTTTTGTTCTATAATATTTATTCTTTTTAATTTAGTATTTTGAGGCAGTTTGATTGAATTTATTAATATTTATGCAATATTTATTTTTGCCATGGAAAAGTATATATAATTTTCTAAATATATATAATTTTTTTTTAAAAAATTATGAATGCAGTATTTTAGTATACTATAGAGTCTTGGCCTTCAGAAAAAAAATATTTTTTGAAGAAAATTAGCACCATCTAGTTACAGTATAGAGAAAAAGCGTAGAATCATGGTGTAATCACTAGCCTTCGTTTCGGAGTCACACTTGTTATCTTCCCGGTCAAAAGTGACCGGACACCTAAAAATGAAACTTTCTCCATCCCAGTAAAACCAATGCAATTTATTTTTGTTCAGTTATATTTTTTTCTTTTTAATTTTGTATTTTGAGCCAATTTGATGTTACTTATTAATATTCATGCAATATTTATGGTCCATTTTGCCATTGAAAATAATACAAACTTTTTTTTATATATACATTTTTTTTAAGCAGTATTTTAGGTTAAAATAGAGACTAGGCCTTCCCAAAAAAATTTTTGAAGGCAGATTAGCGCCATCTGGTAAGAGTATGGAGAGAAAGCGTAGAACCATGTTGTAACCACTAGATGAAATGTACAGTTCTCTATGGGGAAGCATGTGAATCCCCCAGCTGTTCATGGACACGTTTACTTATTTTTTTTGTTATAGGTGTGTGTGTGTGTGTGTTGATTTCAGTATTGAAGTTAGTGTCACCCCTTCACTGCTGTGAGCTTTTCCTGCATTATGACTGAATTATTGAATAGATTTCACATATTCTCACAACATTGCTCTATTACAGACACAGTGGTTCATAGGTGTGTGTTTATTTGTGCGTGTGTGCGCCTGTTTGTGATGTTGATGTTTTAGAGTGTCACCCCTTCATTGTTGAGCACTTTTTTCTGCATCATGGCCAATTTGTAGATTGCAAATTGTAGTTTGAAGTTGTAGATTGTTGTTTTTGTCAATTTCCCATTCATTTCCTGTGGTCGGTAATGTTTGACAGAAGAGCAGAAGTGTATCTCATTTTTTTACGATTACTTAAAGTGCTCGAATCATGACCTCAATTTTTTTGTGTGTTCACATATGTTGCCATAAAAGTCACGAAGTTTCGTAATTTTCTGATGAAGCAGTGATTTTTTAGAAATTCAAAACAGATTTTTTAATCACAATTTATTGGTGTTTTTGTGTATAAAAGTGTGTGTGTGTGTGTGTGTGTGTGTGTGTGTGGGTGGGTATGTCTGTTTTGCACTCTTGATGTTTTAGAGTGTCACCCCTTCAATGCTGAGCACTTTTTTCTGCATCGTGGCCGATTTGTAGATTGTACACACAAAAATTCTCAAAGTTTTTGTGTTTTTGTCAATTTCCCATTCATTTCCTATGGTCGGTCATTTTTGACCGAAGAGCACAAGTGTGACTATTTTTTTTTACGACCACTTTACATGCTCGGATCATGACCTCAATTTTTTTGTGTGTTCACATACCCAATGGAATAAAAGTCACCAAGTTTCGTAACATTCCGATGAAGCTGTGATTTTTAACATTTCAAAACATAAATTTTTTCGGTCACAAATGACCGAAGAGCACCTGAGGGTTAAGTTTACTTAATCCGTTTGTGTTGGGATTACATGATTGATTTGTGTTGCCTTAACTGAAACTGGGCAGTGCTTTTAGTTACCAGCATGCTTTGCATATGGTTGAATTAAGAGAGAATAAATGTTAAAATTAAGTGTTATTTTATGTTTTTTTGAGAAATTTAGAAAAGGGGAAGACTTGATAGTGTGTAAAAGTGTTTAATGTTAAATTACATTGGAATTATTAAACCATTTAAATAACGGTGGGTTACCATTGTGGAGAAGAGTGGAGCATTTTGTTTGGCTGTCGACTGATTTCAATATTTTCAATTGCTTTGAATGAAGGCGCATGTAAATCTTAGCATTTAAGATGCTAATATGTGCTTCTGCTAGCAAATAGCTAGCTAAAGTCTATATCAATTTAATTAAATGTCACTGAATCAAATGATATATAAATGGATGAATCCTCACGACCAAGTCGTATGAATTCGACGAATGATTAAAAAGTGGCTAATTCGTAACAATTCATACGACCTCACTCGTACGAATTAATTCGATTTTGCTAAATCATACATATTTTACGAATTGGCCAATTCGTATGAATTCGTACGAATGACCTACCCCTGACCCCGCCCCTAAACCTAACCATCACGTGGGTTTAGACAAATCGTACAAATTAGTACGAGTGAGGTCGTACGAATTAGTACGAATTAGACACTTTTTAATCATGCGTCAAATTCGTACGAATTGGTCGTGAGATAGTGTTGAGACTACTTAAATTTGGTAATTTAAAATTACATAATTCTATTATGTTGAAGTTACATGAACAAATTATGTTTGTTTAACGTAATCCATTTATGTGGAACCTGTTGAAAAATTAAAATTAATTAAAGCCAACATATAATTTATATATATATATATATATATTACAATAAAAATGAACCATTCATATCTTTTCTTAAAACCAACTTTTATGACAAGTAGGCCTACTCATTTCGGGTAGTCACAATTTAATTTAGCCTACTGTTTTTATTATTGTCTATATTATTCTGCAATTGAGATTACATATGGTATTATTATTATTATCATCATTGTTGTTTTATACCACTTGCGATTATCAATCTAGTATAGTTGTGCAGTTAAATGATTGTAATATTCACTTGTCAC